GATTCTTGAAGTACTTCCAAAGACCTTCCTATCCCAAGGTGATAAAAATACTTTCTATCGTCTGTTATCCTTATGCCTATAATTATATAGGTAGATCCTCAGAGTACTTGGAACTTGTATCTATGTCACATCAGCAGGGATTTCCCTTTATTTTCTAGCAGATGGACAGCACTGTGTCCCTGTGGTTTCTTCCACCAACTTGCAGGCCACCTTCCTCATGTCTTGTCCCTACACCTGGCTACACCTGCCTCTGGCCTTTTAGGCCATTTCCCCAATAAGTCAGGGTTGGAGAAGCCTTTCCAGGGGGTGACACAAAGGTGTCCTCTTAACCCTTAGGACCATGTGGGGTGGGCCTAGAGCAGGAGAAGGAGCCTTCTGGGAAGGGTAAGCATGTGAGGAGTCCTGTGGCCACTCTAATAATGAGATGAGGCAGGTTCAACAGGGGATAGGTCGTGAAAAGTGAGGTTGGAAGTCAAGAGGGCTCCATCCCGGTGCATAGCATGTAGTCCAGGCTCATGCAGTGCCCCAAAACCCACAGACTCATCGGCTCTCCCAGCCTTACACGCGCCTCCTCTTTGTGCCTCTCCCCATCTGTGTCACCTGCTCCCTCTAGGAAACCGCTTCTCTCTGTCCACACTTCCACCAGCCACGGCCCATCTCAGTTGTCTTTCGGAGCCCGTTTGCCTCATGAGACTGGATACTTTTGCTGTCAGGGATCACGCCTTATGCATCTCTGTGCTCCCATCATCTAAGGCAGATCCTGGTACATAGACAATGTGTTCAGGGGCCTTTGTTGACTGAACTAATGAACAAGATAGAAAAGATTGCTTCCCATCCACAGATGTCAGCCCTGCAGCACAGCCAGGCACCAGGGTAGCTTGGGAACGTCTGTCAGTTTTCTTTTTGCGAAGGAGAATTGTCACCACAGTACTCATGTCGGCCACCCTGGGAGGCTTTCCCATGTCATTCTGATTGCTGGGTCTCCTAGGCAGGATGTGACAGGTTCTGACCATGCTCATCTCAAGGACAGATGCAGCAGCTCTTGACCGTATGTGTCTGTTTAGCTAGAGCCTCGAGTGTGTCACCTTCCAGGACAGGGTTGTGGAGAAGGCTGGGGGAGGCGCCTGGGGCCACATCTGACCAGGGCACAGGAACACACGAGCTTGTGGGGAGAACTTGGGGTCTTCACTGTCATGTTTGGAAAGTCATAACCAAACCCGGTCCCTGTCACCTCCTCCAGAACCTCACAAGAAGATCTGACTTGGCGCTGGCTGCTGACGTTTGGGTTTCATTTGTGCTTAAGTGATGTGACCTCATGTCATGGTGATATGCCCACTCGGTGATGGTGTAAAGCACACAGGATGGCACTCTGTGACCAGCTTCATGTACACTCGCTGAAGATCCGTGCAGTCACCATGAATGTTTGCGTTCGTTAGTATATGGCAGTGGAGTTGGGACCTTCTAGGGTGAGCTGCAGGGCAGGACTTTGGACTGAGAGATGGTGCCTACAACACAGGAACTTTCTAAGAGACTTCTGGGTACAGATTTCTCTAGAGCTGGTATGGGAGAACCCTTCATACAGACCATGATGTCAACTTCCAGAGCTGTATGGATACACTGAAGTCTTTATTTTTCACAGATGGAAGGGCAGGCTGAGGCTGGGAGGAAATACTTGGAGTCTTTGTTCTGGAAGGAATGGGTGTTTCTGCCTTTAAACAAAAGATACAGGTGTACATAGGCATTGAGGTCAGGACCCTAGTTCTCCTGTGGTCCCTGGAAGTGTGTGCATGCTTATATGCATGTGTGTGTGTGTGTGTATGTATGTGTGCATGTGTGTGTTGACTTCCAAAGACATGGACTTGCCTTGTCTGGTGGCCTAGTAACAGTATGTTTAATCCAGGTCACCAGAGAAAAATCCTAAATGGCAATAATATGACCTTAACCCATGAAGTAGAGATGGCATTTGTTTCAAGAGGTGTCTAATAAATCTCTAGTAATCTTGCTGAAAGCAAGATATCCTGGTTGTGTCCTAGATTAGAAAGGACGTTGCTGGCAGGGAGAACTGTGACTTACCATTTAACTAGGGTGCCACAGCTCATATTGCAGGCTGTATCCCAACTGTTTAGGAATATAATATATGTATTCATATTTGTCATGGTTTATGGTTGAGTCACATTAGTCACTCATAGACACATGGCCTCAGACTTTAGGACAAATAAGAGTAAATGTTGCATGAAGTCTGTGAAAGATATTAGTCTGAGGACCTGCTGTCCTGAACTAGGAGGATGTGCCCCTGGGTAACAATTCATCAGCCAGACTCCCACGGCTTTCCCAGACAAGAGATACATGTCACCTTGTGTTGGGTTTCGAGCTGTGCCCCTTTAACGCTGCCATAAGAGACTTGCAGTGTCTGTAGATGCTTGTCTGAGTTGAGCTGCTTGGCTCCAGATTAGATTAGAACACGTCAATGGATGATTAAAAGCCTTTCTGAGAATGACTGCAAAGTTCAAGTTCAGAAACACTTTTTAAATAGTGGGTAGCGGAAGGCATTGGGGTGTTGTAATTAGTAAGTATTTTCACATTTTGTTTTTTTATAACAATTAGAATACAGTGCAATTATTACTAAAATGGGGATTTGGTGTTGGGAAAAGGAGTCTACATGGCCTCCAGTGCCCATCTTTGTGGCTTCGTGCCTGCTTCTCCTCTTCTCCACCCAATTCCAGACATTCAGTCCTTGTCTCCACAGATAACTTCTCCACAGAAGTGGTGGGGTGGGATGGAGGTGAACAAGCTGGTCCCAACCATGCCCCATGCAAACAGCCTCACCTCCTCACCTTCCTCCCCAATCTCCTGTCATATTTTCCAACAAAAGGCAAAGGTGGATATGAGAAACCGTGACAAGGATTGTCCATAAGTCTCTAGAGCCCAGTTATCTCCTACAAAGGAGAAACTTTCGGTCAACTAGAGTCTATTGTGTTTTGTTTCTGTCCTACTCTAGTCTAGTCTATGAGACATCAGATTATTAGAAAACGAATTGATGAGGTAACGTCCCTGGCAGAGCACCATTGTCTACCTGGAGTAGTCTGTGGCCAAAGTGTCAAATCTACGTCAGGCAGGCAGGCAGTGGGGGCCTATTCGGCCCTGAGCAAGAGAAGGTATCTCAACCCGAGAGATGGGCTTGACTGTTCACTCACATTCATAAGAGACTCAAAATGGACTTGATGTTCCAAGCCAGCATTCCCCATGGGAAAGCACATGGCTGAACTGTGAGAAGAGGGTAGCTCGGGCCACCCTCAAGATGGCCTTCAAAAGACAGGGGCATGTGCCACACCCCAGGGCCTCTACCAGGTCCAGGTATAGCAGTGGAAGCCCTGTGGGCCTGAGGAGAGCCTCATTGCCTCCAAGGAATGTTCTTTTTTTTTTGAGTTGGAGTCTCACTCTGTCACCCAGACTGGAGCGCAGTGGCCACTCCCGGCCACCGCAGCCTCGACCTGCTGGGCTCCTTCCACCTCAGCCTTCCAAGTAGCTGGAACTACAGGTGTGCGCTACCACGCCCAGCTAATTTTTGATTTATTGTAGAGACAAGGTCTCGCCAAGTTGCCCAGGCGGGTCTCGAACCCGTGGGCTCAGGCAATCCACTCACCTCAGCCTCCTAATAAATTGCTGGGATTACAGGCTGAGCCATCAAGCCCAGCCCAAGGAATGTTCTGACGGAAGAGGACCCTGCAGCCGACAGGCCTCTGTTTCTCCCTCTATGGTCTACTGAGACCTGGTCTCTGAGCTGCTCGTGAGATTAAAAATGAAAGCATGTTGCTCTTGGGAAGCATGAGGCTTTCTGTTAGAATTAAAAGTCACTGCTGTCAAGGGAGCAAATGCAATCATAGACACCTAAAGGGAAACCAGGTGTTAAATTACCCTGCTCTCAGGAGAGGCCTCTCGAGGAGGGCACTGGAGAGCCAGGTGCTCTTTTGGAGAAGTCTGACTGGGAGTTGTGGGGAAGAAGCCTGGCCAGGACCCCATGCTCTGAAGGACAGTCTAGGAGGTGACAGGATTTCAGGGAGGCCCGGACCTGAGACCTTGAAACCAACTTCTTGTTGGGTTTCACCGGGGTCTTCTGATCTGCAGGTAGATGGGCAGATTGAGAATAAATCCAACCATTGTGTCTGCTGAATTCAGAACCTCATTCCCAGAGCAGTGGTAGATCCTTTCCCAGGAGGGGGCAGGGAAGGAAGATCGCATTTATCAACATGTGTTCCCATTCTTTTCAGACTTATTTTCAACTTGATGGGTCTGTAATTTATTTGCAAGACTAACACAAATGAATATTAATTCATATTCAGCCTCTGAATGTTCACACTATTAGCTTGTAACTTTCAATAGTGTAGATAACTCATTGTAGATTTCCCAAATTAATGATGTAAGTTATGTTTCAATTAACTGAGGGCATGCAGGTTAACTTCCCTCTCACATTCAAGAAACCCAGGGAAACAGTGATAATTTAAGAGAATTAAACTCCCCAGTGAGCACACATTTAACAGAGTCGCATTCACAGGCAGGTTCGAGAATCAGATACTGCAGTGTTGAGGAACCCTGTAGAGCATGTGGCACTTTCCAGGAAGTGGAGTTAGACAGTGGGGTTTGGTAGCTGAGAGCACGGCCTCTTGAGTGTGAGTTCGTCTTCTAGTTCTGCTTCCAGATGGTGGCTCTGGGAAGGGGTCTAATCTGCCTGTGCCTCAGTTTCCTCACCCTGTGAAGTGGAACCTGTGTTAGTACCTGCCATGCAGAGCTGTGGTGAAGACTGAGTTGATGCATGTCCCTGTGTGGCACGTGCTGAGCTCGTTGAGTAAACACTGTGGGTTGCATGTCTCTATATGGTGCCTAGTGAGCTTGCTGAGAGAACATCATGGGTTGCTTGTCCCTGTAGCACGTGGTGAGCTCACTGAGTGAACGCTGTGGGTGTGGCAGCGAGCCCTGACCGACTCTCCTCTCTCCCCCGGCAGGGAAGTGGCAGATGCATGACAGTGGCCTCCTGAATATCACCAAGGTGTCCTTCTCCGACCGAGGCAAGTACACGTGTGTGGCGTCCAACGTCCACGGCTCTGTGAACAACACGGTGACCCTGCGCGTGGTCTTCACCTCAGGGGACATGGGCGTGTACTACATGGTCGTGTGCCTGGTGGCCTTCACCGTGGTCATGGTCCTCAACATCACGCGCCTGTGCATGATGAGCAGCCACCTGAAGAAGACCGAGCAGGCCATCAACGAGTTCTTCCGCACTGAGGGCGCGGAGAAGCTGCAGAAGGCCTTCGAGATCGCCAAGCGCATCCCCATCATCACCTCGGCCAAGACCCTGGAGCTGGCCAAGGTCACGCAGTTCAAGACCATGGAGTTCGCCCGCTACATCGAGGAGCTGGCCCGCAGCGTGCCCCTGCCTCCGCTCATCATGAACTGCAGGACCATCATGGAGGAGATCATGGAGGTGGTGGGGCTGGAGGAGTCGGGCCAGAACTTCGTGCGGCATGCCCCCGAGGGCCAGGAGGCTGCCGACCAGGACGAGGTCTACACCATCCCCAGCTCCCCCCCGCGGAGTGACTCCCCCACCGCCGACTCAGATGCCTCGTCGCTGCATGAGCCGCCACAGCAGATCGCCATCAAGGTGTCTGTTCACCCGCCATCCAGGAAGGAGCACGCCGACGACCGGGAGGGCGCGCGGCTAGAGGTCCAGGGGGAGGAGGAGTCCGAGCCGTCGGCCGAGGGTTCCCCAGGGAGCACGGAGCCGTCCACAGACATCACATCCACTGAGCTGACGTCGGAGGAGCCCACGCCCGTGGAGGCAGCGGGCCGGGGACTGCCGCCTGCTCTCCCGGAAACCGCAGAGCCTGTGGCGACCCGGGACACAAACACCTGCATTGTTTACGAAAGCCATGTCTAATCTCACCCGAAAAGCTATGCATATCAAGAGAACCAGAGGTTGGTAGCACTTGCCATTAAGCCTTTTCAGGAGACCCGCCCCCCCCCCCCAGACAAGAGAGACGCCTGTTAGCAGGGAGACACCGCGGGCAACCTGTGTGGCGGGGACTCCCTGGCAGGGAAGGGTATGGGAGGCACGAGGGCACAGGACGGGTCATGTCAGGCAGAAGGCATCTGTCACGCGCTATGAACTTTTGAGTTTGCTCTCTGCCAGGTACCTTAATTGCGATGCCCTCCTGGCAGAGAGTGACCCCACGAGACACTCCAAATATGAGCGCCCTGTCCCACGCACACTAGCTGCTTCTCCTCTGGAGAATGATAGGTCTGCTGCAGTAGCACGTGCACGTGGGTCCATTGCACTTTCTTCTCAGTTGTGATCACTCACTGTCCTCTGTGATGGAGTTGGGGTTGTTATGTTAGCACTAATCACTGTTTCTGGTTCAGTTCTCCTCGCCATTTTGGTCCTTGTTTTCCCTAGAACACTTACCTCAGAGAGGCTTTGGCCCCAGCTGCTGGTCCCAGGGCTGATACTCACAAGTCGTGTCATGTTCCAAAGTGGGTATGAGGCTCAGTGTTTTTTTCCATTTCCCAGTCCTGTTTTCTTAGATTGCTTTTTTTGTTTCCAGTGAAGCTGCTGTCACGAAAACTGAGAAAAACTTTGCCCCAGAATAGCACTTTAAGAGTCAAATAAAAACGTGTTTACCCATATGATTGGGAGAGCCTTTTGGTGAGCTCATCTGAGGTGTGAAGGGAGATCGTCAAAGGTTAAGTAAGCCCACACTACCTGTGAAAATCACCGTCTACGTTTGACATCCTCCTCCAAATGCAGACTGACTCTGTCTGGAAAACGCATTGCTTCACAGGCAGAAGCACCCGCTGAAGTCTTGTAGTGTTGGCCTCCCAGACAGACCTGCAGGGACGCCTGCTATCAGATGACCCCACGCTTGATGTAGGCAGTGAGAGTAAGCCCTGTGAGGTCGCATAGCCCAGTCCACCTCAGTGAACTGCATAGCTGGCATGGTCCTCACAAGGGAGGGTAAAGGATCTGTGTCACAGCAGAGGGACTGTGCCCTCGAATTTCATGCCAAAATCTCTGAATTATTATTCAGCCCCACATGATGTTGTAGAAAGAACTAGTCGTCTAGAGGCTGAATCCCTTCCCTGACTTTGCCTGCAACAAGCTGTCTAGCTTTGGCAAGTCTGGGCCTCAGGCTCCTCATCTGTAAGGGGGGCAGACTGGGTGAGCTCTGAGCACCATTTAAATGGTCCCACTCACAGAACTAAACTAGTGTTAACGTCCTGGTTTCACTTCACAGTTACTTTAAAGATGTTTGCTCTTGTCTTGGACTCACCTAGCATCTTCATGCTGCCTTACTTAAATAAAGAGGGTGAGTTCTGCGAAATGGTAACATTTTCAATGAACTGGGGGTCTTCTCCTTCCGCAGACAATTAGGACCACTGCTGCAGTTTAGATTTCATCTTGAGGAGAATGAGTAGTGTTATTTCCCCTACCCTTGTAAGCAAGGGAGACAGTAATCTTAAAGTGGTTAAAAGAGTGGTGGCTATATCAGATGGCAGGATTAGGATGTCTGGGGTTGCATTGACCATGATGAGAAGAGAGCAGGCCCCGATGTTCTCTGTTTTTGAGCTGGAGTCTCACTCTGTTGCCCAGGCTGGAGTGCAGTGGCATGTTCATGGCCACCACAGCCTCAACCTGCTGGGCTCAGGCCAACCTCAGCTTTCCAAGTAGCTAGAATCATAGCCATGCGCTACCATGCCCAGCTAATTTTTTTACTTATTGTAGAAACAAGGTCTCACCAAGTTGCCCGGGCTGGTCTCAAACACCTGGACTCAGGCAGTCCTCTTGCCTCCGCCTTCCAAAGTGCTGGGATTATAGGCATGAGCCACCAAGCCCGGCCTTGAATTTTTTTCTTCTGTGAAATAAGCAGTAGTACTTACGGGTTTACAAGATCCCTTCTGGTGGAAACACCCATAGTTTTATGGAGAGTTTGCAGTCTCCTGTGATAACCCCCAGCCATGAGACAAGCAAAATGGTGAGCAAAAAAGGGCACCGAGACTAGGTGCTGTCACTGTTCAGACATCACAGCAAATGTGCCTACCTGTCCCTGAGGGCTCTGGGCATGGCTTCACAGGTGGCCTTAGTGGATTCATTTGTAGATAACTGGTGTGGGAGGTGATGACAAAGTGTGGAGTTTAAGTAGACATTGCTCAGGCAGGAGGGCACCATTTTCACCTAGCCAGGGGTGTCCCATGTGGTCATCTAGCTGGGGGTGTCCTGTGTGGTCACATAGCCAGGAGTGTCCCGTATAGTCACCTTTCCAGGAGTGGCCCTTGTGGTCACCTAGCCGGGAGTGTCCTGTGTGGTCATCTAGCCGGGAGTGTCCCGTGTGGTCATCTAGCTTGGAGTATCCCATGTGGTCACCTAAAGAACCAAGGAGAGAGAAATCCAGAGAACCATGACTCCTGCTAGGGTCTCAGGATTAGCATTTTATGTGCCTTGGTTGCAGAAAGGTTGTGTCTCCACCTCTTAAAATTTACATTTTCCTGTTGTATGGAGGTCTACAAATTCTTGAGCTTATATGCGCCAAGCAGCAGCAGGGCCATCACCTTGTTTTGTGGCATTGTGTGGCTTTCCCTCATTCTGTTCTGTTCTCATTTCACCAAACCCATGTGTGGGTTTCCATATGGAAACAACAGGAGAGGGCATTATCCCCTCTAGACACTGATGAGGGGTGATAAGCTAAAAGTGGGCAGGTTTTTTACAAAACAGGAGTAGCAATGTGTGACCAAAGAATGTTTCTGGGTTGGTTTTCGCTTCTTTAGACTCTGGTGAGGGAGACAACAGATTTTCAAAACTCTGTCCCTCTGTAAGGCATCAACATGCTCTCTATTTGTTAATAGCCAGCCTAAGGGAGATGGTTTATAGTGGGCATCTCTCCTTCCCAAGAGTTTACACTCTTCCTGTCCATGCTACAGCTTCTTTAAGGATGAGAGGTCCCCTGCTAGAGTAGGAAGTACAAAAGACCTCATGACTTCCAGCTGGTCTTTGAAAGGTCAAGTGAGCGGTGTAGCATCACGGGAATTGGGGAGTGTGACTGGACGTGTGCACACACACCACACACAAGACTCCATGGGGCAGTTTTAGGAGCTTGACACTAAACCCCAAGCCGTGTTTTTTGGGTCTTATGTAGTCATTCTTAAAACCCATATCTGGCCTCTGAGTAATCCTAGTCATATCTCTAACAGTTTTTTTTTTTCTTGAAATTCTGATAATGATTCACACGTGTGTGTGTATTTAATCCACTTCAATGATCTGTAACCTTGGATGGTATTTATTCTAAATGGGGAAAACAGAATTTTATATGAAAAATCTATGTAATTTATAATGGTTTTGTTTTATACATTATATTTTCATATCTTTAGGGCACATCTACTGGCCTCATCTTTTTGTATATCATACTTGGAAAAAAGAAATACTAATACTTGACTAAAATCTCTAGGAACCAAATGTGATGTGTGTGCTATATGACATACAGAAATTGCTCTGAAGTATCTGAATGTCTCTCCCTCCCTGAGTGCCGCTGCCCTGCAGTTGTGTCCAGAGCACGCTATCCTGGACACCATGAGCATCTGTGCCCAGCCAAGGCTGAAAGGCCTGGTGTCCCACATGCCAGGTTCTGGAGTCCCCTTACTCCTCCTCTGTCTTTTCATTTCCTGTTTCATTTTGCACAAGTCCACGTTGTCTAAGCTTCCTTTTGAAGGGCAGATGCGAGATGGGAAGACTGGTTGCATTTAACTAAGGCCATGCCAGTCATTCTGGTGGACTGGTGGTGTGTGTCAGGCCTACCACTTGGACCCTCATTTACTGGTGACCCAATCTGCTCAGGTCTTCAGCACATGAAGAAAGTCGGGTACAAAGAATCTTTGCACGTTTAGAGCAGGCACACCCTTTGGGCAATTAGAGTGAGACTCCAACTCAAAAAAAAAAAAAAGAAATAGCACAGCCGACCCCAAGAGACCTGGCTGTAGAACACCTTCCGGAGTGTAACCCGGAGCAGAGCAGACACCTGTGATCATGCGCATGAAACCCAGTTGCGTCAACACTGAGACTGTTGCGTGACCATCCCTGGAGTTCTGTGAACTGGGATTTCCTTTTGGTGTTAGATTTGGTAAGAAAATGAAGCATTTAACTTAAATTTCAGACATTTTGTTTTCTCCGCACGCTCAGCCACTGTTCTTTGCCTGTCATTGCCTGTCCTCTTGGTAGTCCCTTGAGTAATTCCTGTTTTCTATTCTTCTTAAACTGCATTATTAGTGCTCTTTAAATGTCCACCAAATCTCATGGCAATTTCACACACATATTTTGGACATCAAGATATCAGTTGGTTTTACATTCACCTGTTCATTTAAAAATCCTTCTGTAGATAACAAAGTTCATTTTCCTAATGAATTTTTTTTTTCATTATTTCTTCAGTGATTAACCAGATTAAATAAATCAGTTGTGGGGGAAAATCGAATGATACAGAATTGCTCATTGTATTTTCCAAGGGACTAAGCGTCTGTTAGTCAAGAAAATGTCATATGAAGACAATAATGATCTATAACTGAGATTTTTTTTTAAGAGATGGAATTATAAAGGACCTAGTACTAAGAATAAGTACAATCAAAATTGAAGCTAGGGAATGTAAAAAATAGAAAGTAAATAGTTCTAAGAATATCCTGGCATAAATTATTTTTATTTAACTGTAGTAGAAGCCTCCAAGTGTCTGTGGACACAACAGAGCTGCTGACATGAGTCCGTTGCTGCACTCCATGGTTCTGGGTGTCTACTGTTGAAAATGGGAAATAAGATATGAACCTTTTCTCTGGGTGGAAATGTCAGTCTGGTGATGTTGTGAATGATAAAATGTTCACTTTTTAAAATAACGTAAAGATACAAAT